ACTTCTTCACTCCACTGTTACTGGCTTAAACAAAGGTTCCTTTGTCATATGATATAAAGTGAGTGAGCTCAGTCTTGCTTTTCATAGGCTGCTAAAGCCCAACTTTCCACATGGTGCAGCATGCCGTACAGGCAAGTAACAGTGACTGCAAGACGTTCACAGACGCTAGGTTTTATTGCCACAGAAAGAGTTTAGTTCCACAGAGATCACCACAGCAATAGACAGTTTCCAGCTGTGTCCGAGGTTATGAACAAGGTGGCTGGGGGATTAGAAATGGCCTCAACCCCGAGCTGAGCGAGGAATTGGCAGCAACGTGCTGGTCTGATGAATTTGACCCTCTTTTTTTCCTTTCTGACCGCAAACAAACCACAAACATTCTTGCATTTCCTCACTATTTGTGATAACTGCTGTGACTCTTCTGCAAATGACTGTGGATCCTCATGATGGGCAAAACCTGTCCTTTATATGTAGAGGCCAATGCAAAGTATCTGTTAAATTCAAACTAAGCTGGAGAAGTTCAGGCAGCACTTGGGGTCCCTCAGGCTTTGTGCTGGCTCCTTGCACAGGACTGAGTTTCATCCATTCTGGGGAGCCAGAGTTTACAGGCAAGTAGATGGCTCCGGAGGGAATTCTGAGCTCATGCCTGGAAAAATGAAGGCAGGATACACTGCTCTGAATCAGCTGCTAGACTCGCATAATGCTCATGGATTTCTTTGTGAAGATGGCAAGTCATTCATGGGCCCGGGCCCAGGTGAGGCTGGCACCGGAAACCGAAAACCCATCCTACTGTGGGGATCCCCAACTGCTCTGCAGCAATGGAAATGATGGCACTAGTACCATGTCTGCATGGCACAGCGCCCTGCTGTGCAGAGATCGGCGGGCTAGCTTTCAGTCATCTGTCTCAGGAATCGTGAGCGGTCCAGCCTCATTAACGCGCTGCTCTGCCTAGGCCCTGAGAAGCAGTATGCTAACAGTAGCAATATAGCCTCAATATCAGAGCTAGCTCTCTACAAGGCTCTGCATCATGATATATATGCAAACACAGCTAAACTCACTAGCCAAGATGCATAAAGGGCCCTGACAACTTGAGCTTCTGGGGGCCTGTTTTGCTAATGGAATTAATAAGCCTGGAGAGTCAAAGAGGTACAGCAGCAGGCTTCTTTGTTAACAGCACTAAACATTTAAACAAGGATTGGGATTTTGAGACTGGAGACCTCAACCTTTGCATTCCCATGGCAATCGCCACTATTAAAACTTTTAATCTTCTTTTATTAAAGATACAGAAAAAGAAGGAAAAAATGGTTAAATCATTGGAAACGTCTGATACTGGGTAAGGCCTTCATTTTAACAATATGCCTTATTCCCTTCCTCTCTAGATAGGGAGTGTTTAAAAGGAACCCCTTGTTTGACAGTTTGTTGGACAGTATCAAAGTTGGGATTGATAATCTCTTCAGGGTAAAAAGCAGACGTTGGTTGAAATGGGCTGAGATCACAGTGGTTGCTGCAGCTGTAAAAGTCCAACTCTGTTATCCTGAAGATGAACATACACAAAAGGAGGGGGAAAAGTGGGGAAAATGCAGCTTCTGGCTCTGACTTTTGCTGTAGGGGCAAGCACAGGTCCAGCAAATGGTCTTATCAGACATGCTAAGACCAGGTAAGTTCAAACCAACTTCAAGCTATTTAGGGCACCATTTGAACGCCACAGATTCACTGTGGTATGGTGAAAGGAAGAGTCCTGGCTGGCTAAGCCACACTCCGGAAAAACAACAGGTGAAAGGAGGCAGATAAAAAAAGAGATGAAATAAGGTGATGAATGAAAAAGACATGTGAAGTGGGGAGAGACAAGAGAAATATCTCACACAGCAGGTTCTGTTTAGGACCAAGTTGAAATCCGAGGAAATTGTGCTGCCCTTGCCCCGTCTGATAAGGATTGGAACTGGTCATAACATTTTCCAATAGGACATCCTTCTACTGGAAAATGCTGATTCCTGGAATCACATGAATGTACAAATTTGGATGAAACTTTCATCTAGGAAAGTTTATCAGCATGGGATTTCTGTTAATAATTAGAGAAACCTGTCCCAGAAGAGCTGATGGGCTGGTGGTTAGAGCACTCGGTGAGGATGTGGGAGACTGAGGTTGAGCATGGCAGGTTAGCATGTTGAGAAGGTAAGTGATTTGCTGGAGGGCAAATCTGCAGCAGACATGAGCCCCTGGATCACCAGTCTTTGGCCCCAACCACTGGAGCATCCTTTCTTCATAGGCAATTCCTTGGCTGAGTTGCCAGCATGGCTTCTGGCCACATGGAGGTGCAACCATGAGTTGGGTTTAACAACCAAGAATGAGTCATTGCCATACTACGATCTGGGGGTCAAGTTCTGCTCCTAAGGGCACGTCGCTCCATTATGTGCTATGGATGATCTGAGGACGTGAATGGCAGTGCACCAGATCCCGGTTGTGGGTGATAAAAGAAAAGGGACAGAGCATATTGTGTGACTTAGGCCTATTGCTTCCTCTCAGCTGAAACGTGACAAAAAGGGAGAACACAAGACACGGCTTTGTACAAGAGACAACACTGCTTCTCCCTCGTTTGGAAGACATAGGGCTAGTTCTCTGCAGAATGGGCAGAGCCTCCAAAACTTGAGTTGGGTCCACACCCCTGGGAAACTAGACAGGAGACCTAAACCATCTCAGGTCTAATATCTGTGTTTCTTTGACACTGGGGCACTCTGAGCACAGTGACTGGTATTGCTGTTGCTGGCTGTACCACAGCTGCTTGGAGTCAGGAGCTACAGCGGGTGCAATGAGAGTGCTTTAGGCATCGGTGGTTGAGAAGAACATGCCACATACCACAGCTGCTCTTTGGCTCTGCATCTGTGACAGGATGGGCCCCAAGGGCATCCATGGAGCCCTCCTTAGGACCACACTAATCCTGCCCTTACTCCAGGTCAGCGTTCCCTCTAAGCTATGCAGCGTGCACAGCCTCACAGGTGCACCTGGCAGCGTGGCACCTGCACAGCCATACACGCTGCACAGCTTAGAGGGAATGCTGCTCCGGGTCCTCCATATACCCCTCTTCCTATCCTACTTGTCACATCTAGATGTTCTTTAGATACCATTTGGGAGGCTGCCCCTGTGTTCTGGAGGGCTTTCACCCATGTCTAACCAATTTCACCAAACTCTCCTGGTCTCTGGGCCCTCTGCCCACTCACCAAAACTTCACGGCTCTCCACAGGTGGCTCTCATGGCCAGGTGGACCTACCTGTGCCTGGCTCGCACTACAGTGGGCCAGTGGTCACCACCTGTGGCCCTACTGGTCCTAATTACACCTTAGGGCTCTTTATCATGGTCTCCAGCCTCCTGCGTAGCCATACCTATACCTTACAGGTGTCATTTTGTTATCATCTGCCTTCCTATGGGATTCAGCCCTCTTGGCCTTAGCCCACCAGTTACTCTGGCTGTAGGTCTCTAGCCTAGGTCCACTTACTCTGGCCCAGCTTCTCAGCCTCTCCTGTGTTGGGGCTCAGGCTCTGGCCCTCCCAGTTGCAGCCTGCCCCATCTCCTTCACTCTCGCACCCTTGCTCCTGGCAGGGCTCACAACCTGGCATGCCCCTCATATACCCCTTTGTGGCCTCCTTACCACCCATACAGACACCACCCCATCCTCCAGTCTTAAATCTAAAACAGAAATACAAGCAACTGCTTCAAGCCAAGACCCTCAAAGCTGCTCTCTGGGTTACCAGATAGCTGCTGAAGTCATCTCCCCCCTCACTGGCTTTCTGACCCCAGGGAGTGCCTGACCTCGCCTGCAGCGTTTGTTCCTTGGCAGCCTGAGCTGCCCAGAGCTTTTCTTGCAAAGTTCAGGGCTGCACTGGCCCCTCTGCCTCAGGAATTTAGGATTATATCCCCTGAGCTCCTCCTTTTTTGGTCTGATGATCTCCTGACCGACCCCAGGTATGTTCTCTCAGCTTCAAGATCACCTATTGCTGCTTCTCCAGCTAAACTGCAGTTATTCCCTTGCTGCTTTCCCAAGGCTACTGTCCTATTGCTAGGTAGCTAGCCATGCAGTGAACACTTCTATCCTATAGATCCCTGTCTACCTACTCTCCTGCAGCTAGCCCAGGTTCAGCTGCCTTCACCCACCTGTGGACATACCTGCTGTGGATTTTCTTAAACTAACAGGCACCTTTGGATCCCTGTTAGCACATCCCTCTAGCATTGCATGTTTGTAATGATGGCATCCTTCATGGATCTTCAGTGGGGACTGAACTAGAGACCTTCAGTGCCCCAGAAATGGGTTCCTAGTACTCAAGCTCAAAGAGTGGCCTTATAAACTGGTGGTCATAGTAAACTCTTCTTGCTTACATGCATCACCCACAGGAGGGAGAAAGCAGGCATAAAGCCCATCCCCTAATCAAACAGATAGAAATGTAGGCGGTGTATGCGTGTGTTGGGGCAGTTTTGATTTGACCCCTGATGTGACTGGGTATCCCAAGGTGTGGTGGTTGGTGTGGCTCTTCCTATTATCAATTGCAGGCAGCAGATGCAATTACAAGGCCTTGCCTCTTGGCGCCGTGGAAGCAAATAATGGCCTGCTTGCCCAGTACAAGCTGTGGATGCACTGCAGCGGTGTTACACCCGTGTAGTTCTACCCCTGCTTTTCCCTGGGGTTGTTCTACACGGTGTACCCATAATTTACATCAGCATAGAGCTTCATATGCATTCCTCTCTTGCTGCTTCAGTTTAAAGGCTGATTACACTAGTGTAAATTTGCTGTAGATCCAGGCCCCGAGCTCAGAACTTCACCTAGTTGTTAACCCCCCCCGCCGACTGTGCCTTCTCTTTTCCATTCATTTTACTTTCCCCCATTGTCATACTTACCTGGTTTAACTTTATCCAGTCTCTCATTAAAATGGCATGGCCATTCCCTCTCATGGCACAGCAGACAATTTTTGAAACACCACCATGTTATCCCTAATTAGGGGTTCGTTAGAGCATACCGGTTCTTATGGTATCCAATACTTTGTTCTCTGCCTTCAAAATGCTGCAGCAGCTGCCCTTTAGCAAACTTCTTTTTCAGCTCCACGTTGCTTGTTTAGTCTACAGTTGAGCAGCTGGTGAAGGATTCAAGGAGCAGAAGGTGATGAATGAGCCATAGCAATTTACAAGGATATAATTCCATCTCGGTGTTCGAAGTACATCACGTGGCACTTGAGTGATCACTTTGTGTTTTCATTCTCTTTCTTTCTCTCTTCACGTGAACCCTAGGAAACAATATAAAGTATTAAGAGCACAAATTGTGGACTTCCGTAAGTGGTTAATGAGTGAGTTCAAGTATGTCACAGTATTCCCTTATATACACATTACCCACGTAAGGGTGAGAAGAGAATTATCAGTTACATCATGGTTGATTCATGTTTCCAGTCTAATTCCATTCATGTCCTACTCTGCAATTTAAAGCCAGCACCAAATAGAGTCAGAGAGTCACAGAGAAGTCCTCCAGAGGTCATGGAGTCCAACCCCCTGCCTGAGGCAGGATCACCCCTACCCAAACCATCCCATACAAACCATAATCTAAACGCTATATAAGGCTAATGCCAAACCTAACACAACATGGACCTAACCCCTAACCTGCCACAGGTAAAGCAGGGGAACCATGGCGGCCAATGTCCGGCTTCTATAAAATGTTGCCGATATATGCTCAAGAGATCCTAGGTAGAGGACCATGTCCCCCACTACAGAGGAAGGCAAAAACCCCCATGGGACCATGAGATAAAATTATTTCCTGACCACAAATATGGTGATCAGTCTGACTCTTTGTGGAGGGGCAAGACCCTCTATTCAGGAACCTCCAGCTTTGCTCCCAGCAGGAGCATTGACACGCTGTAGTCAAGGTCCCCAGCTTTGGCTGCAGCTAACACCCAATGCCTCTGGGAAGACTTAAAAACACCCTGACACATGTACCTGGGGAAGATGGGTCAGCAAGTGCAACCAGAAAAGCTCAGGAGTACTGGAAATAACCATGGTATTTCCATAGGTGCACCTATGCCTAGATAATCCCTGAAGAGTGGCTGTCCATCATCTTCTTGAACAGTTTCAGTGATGGAGAGTTCTTGACTTCCCTAGGCAGTCTATTCTACTGCCTCGCTATTATAACAGTGAAGACATTTTTCCAGCTATCCAATCTAAACTTACTTTGCTGCAACTTCAGGCCATTGGTCCGTGTCCTCCTCTCTGCAGTGAGAGAGCAAAGGTGCTTTCCCTCTTCTTTATGGCAGCCTTTCAAGTATTGGAGCACCTTTGCCACATGCTGAACATGCCTAGCTCCTTCAGCCTCTCCTCATAGGACTTGCCTTCCAAGCCCTTGATCATCTTTGTTGCCTGTCTCTGGACCCTCTAACTTCTCCACATGCTTTTTTTAAATGTGGAGCCCAGAACTGTACACAGTACTTCAGATGAGGCCTAACCACTGCCGAGTAGAGAGGCACTATCACCTCCTGTGTCTTGCACCTAATGCTTCTATAGATGCATCTCAAAACCGCATTTGCCTTTTGGGCAGCTGCATCACACTGCAGACTTATGCTGAGTCTGTGATCTACCAAGACTCCCAAGTCCTTTTCCATAAAACTGCCACCCAGCCACGTGTCACTCACTTTATATTTGTGGTTTGGATTATTCCTCCCGAGGTGCAGCACCTTGCATTTGTCCACACTGAACTTTAATTTGTCTGCATTAAACTTCCATTGCAAGGGACCAGCCAAATTCCAACAAGGCAGAAATAGACACACAAGATACAACCAACAGCAGCTGACTTGAATCCACATCTTCTACCTCCTTGGAGAACACTCGCACAAGTTATGGGGCATCCTTGGGTGTGTTATCCTAATTCTTTTCTTTTAAAGATATTATATTGGCATGGAACAATCAATATCCATTGAGCCAGATTGCAGCAGGTTTGGGGTTCTTGTTTAGTGCAAATAGTCCATAAACACAGTTCAGAAAGGGGTGACTCACAGTCCTGGGGTCTCTTCCCAGCCCCTGAGAAGCTGCTGCTGGCTTCGTGCTGCTCCCTTAGCACAGCAGTGCAGTCTTCCTTCTCTCATGTGAGTTTCCTGTTGTGGCCTCCGGGCTGCTTCCTCCAGTCCTGCAGCCCTGGATCTTTTGCCAGACCCTAGGAGAGTCCTTGGTCCAGTGTTGCAGCCACCAGCCAAATACCCTCACACTCTCTCTGTCTGACCCAAACTCCTTTCTCTAGGAGCTTTTGGCTTCCTGTGGCCAGCCACTAATCTGCTTCAGCTGCTCAGTCCTCCAAGACAGCCTGCAATCAGGCTTTACTGCTCACAGCTGGACTGTAGTCCCTGCCAACCTGCAGGATCCTACCGCCAGGAGTGTGCAAGCTGCGGCAGGTTTCTGCCAGCCAGCCTGCTACACAGGGAGAAAGAGAGGGAAAGTGAGATTATGATAAGGATAAGAAAGAATCATGTTATCCACATTCTCCGTTTTTACCTATTTTCACTGATAAATTCCTTGATTTTGTTTTTGAAGTCATTTGGTTTTTACTGATTGTGACAGGGTGGCCAAGACACCCTGCCATGGTAAAGTAAAGAAATGAAACTTACTGGAGGATGCTGAAGAAACCTCGCCGAGCCGTGGAGGGAAAGACGTCGTGCCCCGACTAATTAAAGGAACCAGCTGGGGCCATGGCAGTTCAAAAGCTGCTGTGGGAAGCCCAACTGCTGGAGTTTGAGGCTGGATGAAGAAAAATGGGACACAGACAGAAAAGAGAAAAACTGCACTGAAAAAGAAAAAGGAGAACAGCTGTGTCTAGAACACAACAAATCCGACACTGCCACGAGGGACACAGTGGGGAAGAAAGGGAATTTAAAGGGATGCCAAGGGCACGTCCGGGGTCAGCCCAGAGAAAAGGAGAGCAAGGTGCAGATAGAGAAAGCACGGAGAGAAGACAAGAAGAGGAACCGACCCCAGACTTGGATGAAAGCTGACTTACCTGAGGAGAGCCGCTGAAGTGATGGAGAAGGCCACTCTATAAGTGGGCCCAGTCGCGAGGGGTGAAGAGAACTGCTTTGGGATCCTAGAAGGAAGATGAGATGCGGACAAGATTACACCTCCAGGAGGGGTGAGTCCATCGCAACTCTGAAGGTAAGGGTGGGGTTAGAACTGAGAGGTAGCTGTCTTGGGACCCATTCAGGGAAGAACGGGGCAAGCAGCCAACTTAGCAGGAGACCCCAACCAGGGGGTTCACGGGACTAAGACCAGACTCTCCATCTAGTAGGCAAACAACAACAAGCCTGGAACATCTGGTATGGTTAGGGCAGGGTATGGGGATGTCAGAGCCCTGCAAAGATAAGCAGATCTCCTGAACCTTTAACCGAGTTTTTGTCTCAAAAGTGTTTGGTACCTCTGTAACCAGCAAAGGCATGGAACATTTTAAAGGACAGAGCATGACTGTTACAACAGAGACACAACTTGGCTCCAAGTGGAACAACTCTGCACCCTAACACCAATTTACACCCATTTTTCAGTTCAAATCCCTGTTAACTGGCATGAGTGGGGAATGCCCTGCCCCAGGTGCTGGGAGCTGCAAGCCCTGCTGTGGGGGGTGGGGGTTAGAGAGCCTGGCCCCACTCCCTGCACTGGGGGCTGCACCCAGCTGCTCCGCACAGGCCCGTGAGGCTGGAGCTGCTGCCTGGGGGTTCGGGGCTCCCTGCTCTGACCCTGGGTGGGGTGGGAGGTGCCAGTGCTGGGGTCGGGCCCCGCCCTGCCACATCCGGCCATGCGCCATTACCCCCTCACCTCAAACACCAGGGCAGCCTGGCAGCAGGCTGCTGCAGCAGGGGGGAGGGGCGCAAATGCAGCCAAGGAAGAAAGGCAGGGCGCAGCACTGTGTGCTTCCTGCTGCTTATCCAGGGGCACGAGCCCTCCAGGAAGAGCCTGGCACAGGCCCCCCAGTCCTCAAGCCTCCCGGGGAATGTGTAGCAACAAGAGCCTCGCCCCACCACCCTGCGCCCCATACCCACTGACAGCTCCCCCCACTTTGCTCCCTGCTGCAGCCCCAGGAGCGACTGGCAGGCTACGCCGTGTCCGTCTCCCCACCACCTCCCCTAGTTCCAGCCTTACTCCCTCCCTCCCTCATTGCCGATTTTCCCCTGATTTAAACTGATTTTTTTCCTTTTCTTCCTTTTATGCTGATTTCATCCCAGTTTATGTTTCAAAGATAAACCTCAAAAAATTCACATATTTTATTTTTTTTAATAAGAACTGAGAATGCAGAACACTAGTTACACCCTAGTAATTTGGGCACTCACCTGGGAGCAAGGACACCTGGCTTCCTGTTCTTTCTTTTATGTATTTGACACAAAGTAGAACAACTTCAACAGCGAAGTCTGTGTGCACCTAATGCCCTATTCCACAGTAGATAGGCCATTCTCTGGGGATGTGGGTTGAAGCCCCCACAGACGGAGAATGGAATTGAACCTGACCCTCCAACCCCTTGCATGAGTGTGCTGCCCAGTGGGCTAACAGGTGAACAAAAACCTCCTTTCTAACTTTGTGACTCTACCAATACATTTTTGTTGGTTTAAACTCTTTGGTCAATTTGACCAGAATCTGGCAATGGTTTGGAGACAAGTGGAACTGTAGTTTGCAGCAAATAAATTACTCTCTAGTCAAAAAGAAAAAAAGTCCAGCTGAATTTCCATCCTCGCTACAGGAGTTCATTTATTTTCTGTGCACATGCATTTCACACTGTTTTTTGGCTCAAGTTTTTAATGTTAGTTCAAGAACTGGAGTTTCATAGGAAAAAATAAGTAAAAGAAAGTGACGAGTGACAGCGGAGCACTTGAGCCAGGCAGGGGGCTTTGGCTAAGAACAGGCGCTAACTCAGGGGAGAGGGTGGCCCCACTTTGCAGAGCAGAGAGGCTGTTGGGAATTGGTGCCTGAGACCTTTCCACATCTTGGGTCACATTTTCAAAAGCACCTAAGTCATTCAAGAGGCAATGGCCCTTTTTTAGACCCTTAAGTGTTCACCCCTTCTGAAAATAGGACATAGGCTTTTAAATCACATGGAGCAGTGGCGGGCAACCTTTTTGGCAGGCATGCCACAAAATAAGCTCCATGCTCTCCCCAGGTGCCACTCTGATCCCCTTCCCCTGCCTGATCCACTGCTCTGCTTTCTGTTCCCTGCCTTGGGCTCCCTGCCCAATCTGCTGCTCTGCTTTCTGCTGTATTTACCACTGTGCTGCCTGTCCCCTCCCTGGTCTGCCGCGTGCTACACACAGGCTGCCTCTGCTACTTGTGACACCTGTTCTGCACGTTGCTCACACCTGATCTAGAGCAAAATTTTTATAGGTAGTCGGACATATATTTCATGGTGTAGTAGCCCTGGTTTCACTGATCTACAGGACCTTTATTGTGTAACCCTTATTGCAGTTAGGCAGAGCTATCAGCCCTGGTGGAAATAACCCCAGTACTGAGCATGAGTAAAATTCACAGCTGCACACTGCAGCCTATGGAAGCATTAATTCCATCTAGAGTAGAGATTTGCATTGGGGGAGTCACGCCAGCTCCTATCTATTAGTCTGTGAGATCAGGGCTAATCCCCATCCTCGACAAAGACTCTAAGTATACTAACCTTGAAGAATCAAAACCAGGCACCGAAGGGAAAGAAAACAGGTGACAGCCAAACAGACTCAGACTTCAAAGCTGTGTGATGAAACCTGCCAAAACCCACAGAAGGAGAGTGTTTTGTATAGCCCCAAAATAATTCCCCTGTGGAAATCAGTCAAAATGCAAGAAGAGTCAACAAGAGCATCTGCAAAGAGGAACAAAGAAAACTTACTCTGATATTTCTTTAAAGAAGAACATCACAGGAGAACTTCTGACGCTTGTTAAAGTCGCAGAGTCCTATCG